ATAATAATAATAATAATAATAATAATAATAATAATAATGATAATAATAACAATAATAATAGCAACGGTACTACTGCTGATAATAAGATACACTAACAATATTGACAATAACAACAGTTATAAGAAGAGTAATTGTCTTAATCATATTGTTAATAATAATAATGATAACAATGACGATGATGATAATGATGATAACAATACTACTACTACTAATAATAATAATGATAAAATCAATGATAATGATAATAATGATAATAATAACAATAATAATGATATTAATGATATCAATATTATAAAAGTGATGATCATAATGATAATAATAATGATGATGACAATAATGATAATAATAATGTTAAAAAGTGTTGGTGATGGGATGACAAAGATGATGGTAATGATGGTGGTAACAATAATAATGGATATCATCAGTATCATTACTATCATCATTAACAATGATAGCTATAAGAACAACAATCACAATAATGATAATGATAAGGACGAAGATGATTATGAAAATAGTAATAATGATAATGACGAATATTATTATGAAAATAGTAATAATGATAATGACGAAAACGACTATGAAAATAATAATAATAATAATAATAATAATAATAATAACAATAATAATAATAATGATGATGATGATAATAATAATAATACCATAAATAAAAGTAAAGTTTGGTAACGTTACTAATACTACTTCTAATAGTAATAATGAACATCACAAAAAAACATACGATACTACACAGAAAATATAAAATGAAACTAAATAAATGGAAATTACTTGTAAGTTGTGGAAGTTGTGTTAATTAGGCCAAATCATCATTAAATTACCGGGATAATGAGGATAGCAATGATGACAAAAATTATTAGATATGTGAAAGTGATGATGGCAAAAGAAGTATCATAAAAGATACTAATGACAGCAATAACGATAACAATAGAGCAATAGGGATAATTATGATACGAGTGATGATGATGATTATGATGATATAGATAAGAAAGCGATAACAGTGAAATGGGAGTCATCATGATGGCGGTGCTAACAGTAATAGTATTAAAAAGGCTAATACTTATAATAGTGGTAATGAAAGTATGTACAAATATCCTAAATAATAACAAAATAGTAATGCCATGAGTAATGATAAAAAAGATAGTTATGAAAATGATAATAACAGCAACAGCATCAATAACAATAACAATGATAAAAATGCAGTGATTGTAAGAACAAAATACTAATGATATATGCGGTAACACCTAACATAATGATGATGATGATAAAGATAATAACAAAGATAATGATAATAATGACGATAATGATAACAATCGTGGAAATAATGTTAACAATAAAAAATGAATAAATAGTAATAATGATAATCACAGAAATGATAATCATAATCATCGTTATCATTAACATAATGATAATAAAAATAATAATGATGAGGATGAGGATGAGGATGATAATAATAATGGTAGTAATTATAATAATAGTAATGATTATCATTATCATTATATTGATAATGATAACATTAATAGTGATAATGATTATAATAAGGATAATGGTTATAATAATGATAACAGTAATGATAATAATGACAATAATGATAATGGCAATAATAAAACTAATGACAATGACACTGATAATATCAATAATCATAATTATACCAAAAAAACAACATCAGCAGTAATGATAATAATGATGATGATGATATCCACATTAAAAATCACGATAACGTCAACATCTAGAACAAAAACGACATCAGCTGCACAATAAAGCGTATATAAAAATGAATTTAAAAGAACATAAAAGGCAGCTGATTATATGAGATTATTTAAATAATGAACGATGATCATAATGGTTATCACAGAAACAAGTGTTGACTGAAAACAGATTTGGTTGTGTTTGGAATATAATTGTTGTTATGACTATTGCCATTGTTACCATGGTCATTATTAATTATTGTCATTACAATTACAATTTTCATTACCATTGTAGCAGCGGTAGTGCTACCATTTCCATTATAATTATTGTCATTATCTTTATCATTATTTAAGATCCCGATCTATGTTGATAAAAGTCTATATATACAGATTATTTTCCGTTTTTGTTTGACTTTTTTTGCATATCTGAACAGCTTTGCCTGTTACTTGGTCCCTTTAACCTATCCTGGCAAGATTCGTTTTAATTACATCACACATCTAATAAATTGGTTATGGTACGTAATTGAAAACTGTATGTCTCTCTAAAAAAAATTAAAAAACACCAGCATACGGATATTTTCAAACATTTTCAGTACCATCCACATCACAACGTTTCTATTCATTTTGTTTTACGTATTGGTTTTATTTATATATTTTTTCTATCTGTACATTTTCCTTTTCGTCGATCTCTCTCAATACTCAGATCGACTTTATTTATACAAAAACAATATTATTGATAAGAACAGATCAGCTGACGCAAAAAAAACTTATTTCTATTTGCCGTTTTTGGAAATGTCATT